GGTCCCCTGGCAGAGGGATAACCTGTCCAAGCTTCACAGATAGGGAAACTGAAGTCCAGTCCTGCTGTTCTCTAAAGTCCCTGACGTTCGAAGTGCATTTTTATCAGATCTCCTGATTCCGGTCTGCAGAAGGGCCATCCCTGCATATGACAGTGGCTTCCTCCTTGACTGTCCAGACAGCTGGACCTGGGGGAGGAGCAGGCCAACCTCTCGCCCCCTGCACCGCGCGCCGGCCTCGCGACAGTGGGTCTGTCACTGCTCGTTCCAGGGAACGCCCCGGGCCTCCTCTTGTCCGGGTCTTTCCACGGAAGCACACACAGCCAATTTGGTGGATAATAGAAGTCTCAGAATGGAAACACGTGGGAAAAAAGCTCTTTCCTGGGGTCAGCACAGGACAGGAAAAGGGCTGGTGATGACTTCAATAAACAGAGTTCAGAGAAATGCAACTCTGCACAAACCGAGTTTAAAGTCCTGGTTTCAAGGGAGGGGGAACGGTCAAAAAACCCAGCCCAACACTTCCCACCTTTGGGACCTGGGGCGGCCTGGCAGCCGAGCCGCTATTAGCCTGAGATTGCTCAGAAAATACAGCAGCACGGCTGTCACCGCGGTTTGGGTGGCCGGGGAAGTGATAAGGGCTCACGTCCCGCACGGCGCCTCTTGTTGGGGAGGGAGGACCCTCTGCTCTCCCTCCATCACTCTGACCTCTGGACCCCACACGTGCTGCCTCCCGCTTGGTGGAGGGCGTGAGTACATCGTCTTCTCCTTTCAAAATTGCATAGACCCCTGAAAAACGTCCCGATCAGGCTCGTGAAAGCGAAAGCTGTTCTGTGCGTGTGTGAGGGTGAAGGAGTGTTGCATGATTTGGTTCAGATCACTGAAACATAATCCCAATGCTTCCTCATGATTTAGTGGAGAGGATAGAATAGAATGTGAAGTGTCAGGGCCACAAGGAACCTTTGGAACCTGTGAAGGAGCGGAGGCCCAGAGAGGTTGAGAGATCGGGCTCAAGTCACAGAGCAGGCGAGCTGCTGTGTTGGGCTCAAACACGAGTTTTGTAACTGTCCGCTCAGTATGTGTTTTTCATAGTTGTCAATAAAGATGTAGAGAAATTTGAATAAGAGCTCTCACGTGTCGACTGCGTCCACCACAGCTGCATCAGAAGCAGAGCTGCCATCCTGACCCCTACCTGTGGGCGCGCACGTGCCGGGGCAGCACCTGGCATCCACCCCGGGTGGTCCTCGCAGCACATCTAGAGATTCTGCTGCTGTTAATGCTACAGCGTTCACAACTGTGACACACTGTTGATCGAAACCCTCTTTGAAGATCCGACTTTCCGCTGACGGGGCTGCTGTGGGCAGACAGGAGGTGGAGCGGTCGGGAGCTGGAAGTCCTGCTGGAGGCCCTCGAGTGCGCTGAGTGATGAGGGGCTGAGCCAAGGTGAGACTGAGGGAAGTTTCTTCTTTTTAGGAAACAATGCGCTATGCACGGGCTCTCATCTCTACACCTCCTCTTCTGGGAATGCACAGGTGCGTGCGCCAGCGCTGGCGGGCCAGTGGGTTCTGGATTCTTCTCGCCCTTGAGAGGCTGCATGTGACGCAGGATCTTAGCTTCTTCTCTTGTCCTTCTAAGGATTTGCCGGGGAGAGATGGTCGGGCTGGGGTTCTAAACCACGGCTGTCTTTGCGGTGTGCTGGCATCGACTGATTCCAAACGTCTTGAACTTCAAGAGATGAGCACCTCAAACCATTAAACCTTTTGCTTATGGGAGAGGCGTGCTGACACTCATGTTTTTCTACTGAGACAAACTGCAAGTGTGGGTCCTTGACTGCCTTCCCTGCCAAGCCTGGGATGGGATGCCAATCCTCACTCGAGCTAGCCACGCTTCTTTCCTCAGCTGCTTCTGGAGAATTCGAGAAAGACTGATGGACTGGCTCAGTGCACTGCAGGCCACTTCCCAGGCTGAGTGTACTGTGGGCGCCTCCCTCCTCCACTTGGGGGGAATTAACGACCTTTTTCCAAGGAATAAGGAGTGCGTGTTTGCACACTGCTCTTTCCTCATCGTTCAACTGGCTTTTCTCCAGCTCTGGCTGTAGGCGACTGACTTCCACAGGCTTCTAGGGCCCTCGCTCATCCCAGCCCTGAAGCTTCCCGGCAACAGACCAGAGCTGGGGTGAACGTGTTTGCATCTGTTGATTCCACACGGGGTCTTTTGTGGGCTCCCTGGGCCCTTTCAGTGGGATCCAGGATGGTTCTGTATAGTGAGGACTTGACACTCCAACCACAATGACAATGACACACATTGTGAAGACAACCGTCATAGTTTTGTCTTGCTTTACCTTTTATAAATCACTTATGCATATTTTAATCTCATTAATCTCAATAAAACCAAGTCTTCAAGTTTGGAAAAGAGCCACAATAGGGGAAGAAGAGGGAGATGTAAGCATGGAAAAATATTTTTAAGGATCTATTTTCAGGAAGATGTGAGTAAGTACATTTTTGGAAGGAGGTGTAGAAAAGGTTCTTGCATGTTTTATGCTGGTTATTGCCACTGTGAAAAGAGCTGTTGTTTTATAGAGTGACATAAATTTGAAAAAATGGCTATGTTTAAGAAGACAAATACAACTCTGAATTATGCACCAAATATTATTCAACTTGGTAGCGTGGGATGTGTGGGCAATTGTCCAACAAGGAAATTCCATATTACAGGAGCTTTAAGTTTCAAACAGGTGGAAATGAATCAATTTTATAACGGCTTTAGCTAGGTATTATGTATGTGTTGTGTAAAATTTATTTTCTGTTGTTATGTTGTTCTTGAAAGTCTTGATTACTTCCTCCTCCAGAGGGGTGTTGTAAGGGGGGAGCTCCTGGCCTCTCTGAAGCCACACCTGGAGGGAGCCGCCTGCTGCACCTGCCAGCAGCCCCGCCGGGTAGTCACCTGGAGGTCACAGCAGGTGCTCATGTGGGTGGTGAGACTTGCACCTGTGGGTTCCCCCACGAGCTCGGGCTCTGTTATGGCTTGGAGCCATCTCTTAACTCTACCAAGAGGGAAAAAACCCAAACTCATCTTTGTTGTAAAAAGTAATTTTCGTTTTAAATTCTAAACTGATAAAACCACGTTACAGGAAGTTTGGACACAAAGCTTCTCCGTCCCAGCCTTCTTACCCCAGCCTTCACCTCGCTTGCTGTGTTTCCTTGCATCTCTCGTTCCTGTGTGTACTTTCCATAAAGTTGCAATCGCAGGCTATGACCGATTTTGCATCCTGCTATCTTTTACCAAGATTATGTCATTAGAAATGTCTATGTTGTTACATGGTCTTCGAAACCATCATTTAAAAAGGCTGCTTAGCATTATTCACAATAGCCAAGACTTGGAAGCAACCTAGGTGCCCATCAAGGGACGAATGGATAAAGAAGATGTGGTATTTATACACGATGGACTACTACTCAGCCATAAGAAATGACGAAATCCGGCCATTTGTGATAACATGGATGGACCTTGAGGGTGTTATGCTGAGAGAAATGAGTCAGAGGGAGAAAGTCAAATACCGTATAATCTCACTCATAAGTGGAAGATAAAAATAATGACAAACAAACACATAGCAATAGAGATTGGCTTGGTGTTTACCAAAGGGGAAGCCGGGAGGGCAAAAGGGGTGATTAGGCTCACATGTGAGGGGATGGACTATAATTAGTTTTTGGGAGGTGAAACGATGTAATCTACACAGAATTTGAAACATATTATGATGTACATCTGAAAGCTATATAATGTTATAATCCAGTGTTACTGCAAATAAAAAAATAAATAAATAAAATTAAAAAAAAATTTAAAAAATAAAAAGACTGCTAATATTCCATAAAGAACTTTGTTTAGAAAGTTCTCACTACTGTATGACATTGTGGCCAACAACTCATGACCGAGTCAGAGAGTGTGAGGTGGTTTTGCTCTTGATACATGAATGACAGATTTCTTTCCCCTGAAAGGGAACCAGTTTCAGTGCCACTGAGATGTGAGAATGCTGTCACCCCAACTTGTCCCTGGTGCTTCATGATGTAACAGGTAAGCAGTCATTTCAATTAACACTGTTTGACCAGGAGCAAGTTTGGCCGTTTTCTCACTAAGAGCTATAATTTTGCTTTCACCTCTGTCTGATACAATATTGATGGTTTTTCTCATCCATTTGGTTGATCTCGTTACATAATGAGTCGTCCCTTTTTCCGTGTTGCTCTAACTCCTCTAGTCTTTTGGGGGTTATCAGAACTTATCAAGAACAGGGCTACTCTCAATGTTTTCATCATCAAAGACCCTTTTGTTATTTTCCCTAGAGAGCCTGTGTTCATTTTTACTTTCATACATTTTACCATTTTGTTGATCAAAGACGTATTTAGTTGTCAAGGAGAGCACCTGTTGAGTGTTGCATGAGCAGTGTACCAATCTGACTTGATATAATTCCAGCCCAAAGTAATGACACTGTTTTCGCTAATCTGTGCGAGTTGGGTGATTATTTGACTGTATGGGGTTCCCATGACAACGCCCTGATTCTTAGATGACGGACTCAGGCAGTTGGAATCCTGTGCCATCCTTCACCTGACTTTACTCAAGGGTGCGGCAGAAAGAGCTGGTGACGTGTCAGAGCTCCCTGGGTGGTTGAGAGCATGGAGACAGACTTTGTTCTTCTCTTCTATCCTGCCCCCTAAGGCCCCAGAGTGGTGAGGAAGGTGTACCTCAGGGGCCCAGGAATTCACTTACTTTTACAAAGTCATGTTAGGACTCAGAGTTTTGGGGGAACTGGTGGAAATTCCCCAAATAATCTTTCTGTCCCCAAAGCGTTGAGAAAGGTGGATCAACGGAAGACAATGCCAATGACCAAGAGCCACCTTTGCTCCAGGCGCTGAGCTTGGCACTCTGTATGCATCGTATGCCACTCTGTATGCCTCCCAAGAGTTTAAGAGATTGGCATTTTCATTCTAGGCTCGAGGAACCTGAACCTCCTCGAGGTGAAATATCTCTTCCAAAGTGACGTAGCTCGTGAACCCTAGCGCCCAGATCGCTCTGATCTGTCGCTACACTCTTTTTACCGGCTATTGGGCCTACCCCGCTGGCATTTCATTATCTTTTACCCGAAACTTCAAAGATGATGGTTGGTGCAAGGCTCTTGGCCAAGTATGGACTCTGTGTGGTTCAGACAAGTTGCGTAGAGATTTATTTTCTTCTTTGTGATTTTTCTGTAATTAAAAGATTTTCAACAATAATCGTCTATCTGAAAAATACAATACACTTTCAACACTGTTATGAAGTTGATGATTTGCTTATAAAATCAATAATGGCTACAGGGCTTAGGGCACAAGAAATGGCTCGTTTCCCTAAGATTTTCCTGTCTTTTCACCAGTGGCTAACCGAGCAAGCCACTAATGATGAGACGGGATGGAATTATGGATCATTTCCCTTGGGTGGTGGCCAGTTTTCCACAGCAGTGTCAGGTGCCTGGGGGGCAGGAAACCTCTTCAGTTTTGTGATATTCATGCAGGGCCTGGCCCTCAGCAGTTGAAGTGTTTTATTTCTCTTAGGTCTTGGAGCTGGACCCACAAAAACCCAGGTATTTAACGACAGTGGTGGCAGAAAGGCCAGGCTGGCATGTGCGCTGATGGCCCACGTGGAGCGAGAGGCAGACCCATGTTCTGAGTGTCTTGATTCGCTCAATTGCCTCCACAACGTTATTGAAATTCTCTGAGCCTCAGTTTCCTCATCTGAAGAAGGGGATGATGGTTCTTCCTTTATAGCGTTGCTGTGAAGGTTACATGAAATAAACACATGTAAAGTGCTTGGTGGAAGCACACAATATTAATTCTCAGCAATTTCATTTCTTCCACCCAGAAAAAAGAATTCTCTACTGAATCAAATTTTATGTATTTTTCAAGATTCAGAACAATCCCAAGCAGTAAATAAGCTTACAGGAAAGCTTGCTGACACCCAGCAGAAATCCTTTCTGTTTGGACTAAAATCTTTCAGGACTTACCGTCTGTTCCAAGTAGTAAGTTGGCATTAGTTAGTGAGTGGCAAGGTGAGTGTTCATGTTTGTGCCCAACCAGACGCTAAGCTCTTCCAGGGCGGGACCACATGCCATCTCAGAATTTCCTGTAGTAGTTAGCACTGGGGGCTGGTCCTCACGCAGACACTTGTGCATTGATGCATGCGTGTGAGCCCTAGTGACCATGCTGCGTGTTCAGAGCAGGTGCCTGTGGGAGGTGGAGCGGGTCTACGCCAGCCAACACAGCGCGGGCTGTCGGGCCGCCTCTTGTCCTCTCCTGTCTCAGGGGCTACCTGAGGGTGGAATCTCGGGTTCTTCCGAGCACTTGTCTCAGCCGATTCTGAAGACAGGTCTTTGTGTTGCGGCAGTGAACCAAAAAAAGAAATTCTATTTTGATTTGGTCACTTCTTGGCATGAGGTTTTATTTTTGCCACGTTGTGGTGAACCAGCCCTCCTGGCTTGTGCTCACTGGGGCCCGCTGAAGCCCAGCTGTGCCCCGGACACCGGGATGGACGGGAGCAGCTGACTGCACGGGGCTGGACCTCTGCTTCCAGCTGGACGAAGTCCCCACCAATCACGTCACGGTCTGTCGTTTGCAGCTAACGTGATTGTCATGTGTAAAGGTGACTTCAAAGAGAAGATCGTGGCACCAGGGAGGGACCTGCTGAAGGGTGTGGGAACAACTTGCACACATTTTAACACAAAGAGAAAAACAAGAGATGGAAGAAATAAAGGGAGGAGAGAGAGGAAGACGAGGAGCAGAAAGAAAGGTTCGAGGATTAAGAAAGGAGTGTGACTCCATGAAAAGATGCTCATCATCGCTGATCATCAGGGAAATGCAAAACAAAACTACACTAAGATATCACCTTACACCTGTTAGAATGACAAAAATATCTAAAACTAATAGTATCAAATGTTGGAGAGGTTGCGGAGAAAAAGGAACCCTCATACACTGCTGGTGGGAATGCAAACTGGCGCAGCCACTATGGAAAACAGTATGGAGATTCCTCAAAAAATTAAAAATGGATCTACCATATGATCCAGCCATCCCACTACTGGGTATTTATCCAAAGAGCCTGAAGTCAGCAATCCCAAAAGTCCCGTGCACCCCAATGTTCACTGCAGCATTATTTACAATAGCCAAGACGTGGAAGCAACCAAAGTGCCCATCAATAGACGAATGGATAAAGAAGATGTGGTACATATATACAATGGAATACTACTCAGCTGTAAAACAGAACAAAATCATTCCATTTGCAATAACATGGATGGACCTTGAGGGAATTATGTTAAGTGAAATAAGCCAGCGAGAGAAGGATAATATGTGTATGACTCCACTCATATGAGGAATTTAAAATTATGGACTAAGAACAGTTTAGTGGATACCAGGGGAAAGGCGGGGTCGGGGGTGGGCACAAAGGGTGAAGTGGTGCACCTACAACATGACTGACAAACATTAATGTACAACTGAAATTTCACAAGATTGTAACCTATCGTTAACTCAATAAAAAAAGAAAAAAGAAAGGAGTGTGACTCTTACTGCTAAGGTTTCTGTTCTTTGAATCCATTGTCCCTGGGGTGCTGTGTCCTTGAGGTGCCAGAATCTTAGCGAATGGGACTAATAATTCTAGAATGTAATAGATTTCACAATCATAACTCACATTTCGTCTTTCTTCCAACACGTCCAAAGCATACAAAAGATTATATTGCATCAATCTTCCTGCCAGCCAGAAGATATCACCCAGGAGACACAGCCAGGGAATAGGTGCTGTCACTCCACTCAGTTTATTGAGAAGGGGCAATGGAGGAGCTTCAGAGGACACTTTCACAACACCAGCACCACCTGGCAGCTTGTTCCCATCAAGTCTGAATCCGCATCTTAACAAGGCACCTAATTCAGGCACCTTTGGTCTGGGCGGCAAGCGCTCCCCACTCCACTCCTCACCCACCAGTCCTAGCAGGCGCCAGGGGACTAGTTAGACCGACACAACCTGACACGGACAAAACGCATCTTCAACTGAGAGACAGCACACAAAGCAGCTACCCGGCAGTGAACTCTGACAAAACCCCACCACCAGACAGACTCAGGTGTGTTATTCGTGTGGAAGCCGTTGAAGGGAAGGGCTGCGTGACCCATCGGCGTGGAATTCAGGAAATGGCGATCTTTCTCTGTTTAAATTACCTTCTTCCCCCAATTATTCCAGAGAAGGTGTCCTGAAGTGCGATTGTGAAAGTGAAAGGCTGAGCCGTGACTCAGAGCAGCTTCCTGGCGCTGCGGTCGGCCTCCCACGGCCCCTCCTGCCCATCAGTAACGAAGGGAGAATCCATTCCGGTGTATTGTTCCTTCAGTCTCCAAACCTGGTGGAGCCCAGTCTGCTGCTGGAAACAGAGATGTTTTCTGACTACAACGTCAACCTGAGAGGGTCCTATAAACGCGCCGGGACGCACTAAACCCACAAAAGCACATTCCCGATGGCGTTTGATTGCCCGATGTGACCCAGGGCACAAAGCCGGGGACACCCTCCCGTGCCACCTCTGCCTCACTTACTGCTGCCCCCCCCACAGAAGTGGGAGTGAGTGGAGGCCGACTCTGGACTTGGAGCACAGGTGCTGCCGGGGAGGCTGGGACGCCGTGCGGTGGGGACAATTCAGCCTGACGACAAGCTGTGTCTCTCTGTGTTTGGGGGGAAGCTGTCAGGCAGCCGGGTGCCCACTGGGCCCACCGAGGAAAGGGTTCTAGAGTGAGAAGCCTGACTCAGTGCTCCAAATGCTTTCACATGAGGCAGGACCCTGTGCCCTGTGGTTTCAGGACACATACAGAGCAGGGGCTGTCTCAAGCACTCCTGGAAGTGGCCTCCTCAAGTCCTGTGACAAGACTCCTTATTTGGAAAGTGCAGTGCACGTGGCCTTTGGTCAGTCAGATGTCATTAAAGCAAGCTGGCCCTTGTCAATGGCTCCCACCAACTGTCACTCCAGTGGGGCATGTTTAACAGGCCACTCCACATTGCACTCAGTCCTCGGGACTGTCCACTTCCTGGATTGTTGCTTTGGCTGGTGTCATTCCAGCTTAGACAATAAACATTTTGGCACGAACTATGCCATTCTCTGTGCATAAACTGTGCAGAGTTAATTTTTGCTAAAGGTAAGTGAATCACAGTATCGTGGGGACCCAGGGGCCCTGTGAGATCTGCATATCCACCCCCGCCTCTGGGCCCATGAGAATCTATTTATAAAGGCCTCCAGGGCAGGGTTGCCAGATAAAAACAGGATGCTCAGTTAAACTTGAATTTCAGATAAGCCACAAATAATTTTTTACTATAAGTGTGTCCCAAATATTGCTTGGGACAAACTTATGCTAGAAAAAATTCGTTTTTTATCTTAAATTGAAATTTAATTGGATGTCCTGCATTTTTATCTGCTAAATCTGGCCGCTACTCTGGGGGCGTCTGTGAAGCTGCATTTCATGAAAAGATGGTCCAGAACACAGAGCCTGACGCTGACCCTCAAGGGCCAAGGGGAGGGTTCGAGTGGGTGTGGGAAGCGTGACAGATGACAGAGCGTTGGGCACGGCTCTGGAAAGGCCTCGGAGGGATCTGATTTATAGCAACACAAGGTGAGATATTTTAGGCATCTGCCACTGACCCAGGCTTAACTTGAGCTTCAAAAGTTTCTTCTCTCTGAAGCAGCCGAGCTATTTCTAGGGAGCGACTTTCCCACATCACGAGTCTGTTTCTTTTAAGGGACGTTTTGCAGACTGGAAGTGCTGGCTGTGGTCAGAACTCATTTCTGGCAAATAATTGAGAGGCTCTGAAGGAGAAATGCAGCTGTGCCACGCGGCCTGCTCAAGAGCGCGGGGAGCCGGCCTCTCAGGAGCCGCCTTTACTAACCCGAGCGTGTCTCGTACCCGTCCTTTGATCCCGGAGCTCGGGGAGCCCATCTCTTCTGAGGGCACCACTCCCAGGGTTTTGGGAAACTTCCGTTCTTACCCCATTCTGGAAAGAGCAGCTTTTGAAGAGAGGTACTGAACAATAATTATTATCATGGATGTCACATGTATGGAGCAAAGCACTTTATGCCATTGCGTTCAATCCTCACGACAGACCTAGACGGAAGGTAGGATGTTACAGGCAAGAAAACTGGGACCCAGAGGCTGATGCGCCTGAGACATGCGGCTGATGAGTGATGACAGCACCTCAGTCTCAGGGCTAGCAGTGTGTTTCCTGTTCCAGAATACGAGGAGAGATGGAGACAGAGAGAGAGATACAGAGGGAGACAGAAACAGAGAGACAGCGAGAAACAGAGAGAGAGACAGAGAGACAAAGACAGAGAGACAGAGAGGGACAAACAGAGAGAGACAGAGACATGGAGAGAAAGAGAGTGACAGAGAGACAGAGAAAGAGAGACAGAGAGACGGAGACAGACAGAGACAGATAGAGACAGAGACAGGGACAGAGAGAGACAGACAGAGAGAAATGCAGAGAGGGAGGGAGAGACAGAGAAACAGAGATGGAGAGAGAGAGAGACAGACAAACAGAGACAGAGAGATCGAGAACTGAAAAATGAGAAAGAAGCACCAATCAGAACCCTGAGCCGTGGGAGCTGCGGCTCCTGTGAGCACCGTCTCTGCTGTTGGTGGAACCGGGGCTCGGGTGGAGCTCAGCCCTGACCTTCAGCTGGAGGTTCAGACCGCCCAGCCCGGCTGAGTTCTGAGCAGGTGAGGAGCTTCCTGGGGCGGGGCAGCCCCCAGCTCTGCCCTCCTGGTCTGGACGACCCCCCCGAGCCGCCCATCTACTCTCAGAGCCACTTGGCTCACAGCCCAGAGTGTCCAAGTGTCACCCCACCTGCCTGTTCCTCAGCCTTCTTGCCCTGCTCTCTCCTCACGCCTTGTATTTGTAGCACACTCCCCCCGGGTTCTGGCTCTGAGGCTGGCGGTCTGTGCTCCACAAAGCATTTCCCAGAGGCTCAGCCTAATGGTCCAAACCCACCAGGAGACTCTAGGCCTCCACTGTTCTTCGAGGTGCTGGTGATGGCTGATCCACAGCAGGGCAAGCCCACGCCTGCAGCTTCCTGTGCGCTCAGGCAGGAGGGCACGTGCTGGGTCTCACACGGTCCCACCCCTTCCATCACGCAGGACACGGATGCCCAGCCCCGGAGTTGCCTCTGAGAGCTGATCATTCCTTGGTGAGGGGGCTTATTTAATTTTATTTTTCACGTTTAATCTCCAGCTTTCACTACAATGCTGGTATGCAGTTGGTGCTGGTATGGATGTTGACGGGTTGGTTGACCTCTATGGGACGAAGCAGCGTGGTAAGGCCCTCGTGCTATGCCACGTAAATGCATGGTTTTAGAATGGCACGACTGTCCTTATTGCAGCGTGTCTAGATATGGCTTCTTCTGATGGAATTGCAAGGACAGTTCTCGCCTTTGTGGAAAGAGGCAGGGTCCGGCACAGGGACCTGCCTGTCTGTACTCAGGGAAGGCTGTCTGCAGACCAGACAGAGGCTCTGGACCCTGACACACAGCCCTGGTCCCAGGACGGCGGGAGAGGGATAGAGGGCCGAGCTGCCCCGCTACGACCGGGTCTCTTCCATGGGGAGCTCCCAGGAGAAGGGCGCGGGTTCTCACAGCCTGTCTGGACGCGGCATCTTCCAGCACCGCCCTGACACACAGGCTCCGGTCTGCCGTCGGGCAATCCTGCTCCACAGGCGCGTCCAGGGTCTGTCGGAAATGGTGAGTTTAGCCAAATCTCAGTGCTTCTGTTCAGTTGGGGGAAGGCCATGGCAAATTAGTAAAGAGCTAAAAATCTTGACATAAATTATTTTCAAAGAAATGCAGCTTACTACTTTAGGTATAGTAGAACAAGTTAACAGAGAAAACGCTAAGAAAATTAGTGTGATTTGAAGAGCGTCCTTAAATACAGTGCATTACACCTGGAATACTTGTTACACGCACACCGGTACCTCTGAAGCACTTGCACACGTCCAATTTGCCTCAGAACTGTCACACTAAGACTTTGCTCTTGGGATGGGAAATACACATGGAAAAGTCAACCTGACACGCTGGGCAGACCGTCTCCTTCTCAGATTCTTTAGTGATGTCTTGGCCAGGGGATAAAACCATGCTCACCCGGTCTGGGCTGTGAGGACCTGCTCCCGTCCAGACTCACCTCACCACCATCCCCTCCTCTCACTGTATCCACAGTGATAGTGTTCTAAACATGTTCCGAACATACTATGCTCCTCATGGAAAACTCCTATTCATCCTTCAAGTCCCAGCACACAGTCATTTCCTCCAGGAAGCCTTCCCTGCCCACCTCAGCCTCCTGGACATTACTCCTCTGTGTGGCCATTGCCATGGGACATCAGAACACTGAACACTCACATAATAGTAATTTGGGATGACAGGTCTGTCTCCTCTCTAGTCGACAAACTCCTCCAGGGTTGACGTGTCTTTTCATCTCTTTCTTCCACTTCAGTACAGTTCCTGGCACATATTAGGTGCTTATTGAATCTGTGGTCAATGAATTTGGAAGACGGAAAGTACTGAATCAGTATTGGCATCTGGTTTTTTCTGTATCAGGTTTATAGGATTCACGACCGACCTCTGTCATGCACAACAAAACAACAAGTGACTTTGTGAACCTGCCCTGTCCTCACCACCCTCCCCCCGACCCTGCCTGCCGCGTCTCCACAGGGCAGGTGTTGTCATGCTGTTTTGAACCTTTGCTTTGCTCCCAACAAGCATTATTCAGGCTCCTCCACTGAATGTTGTCGTGTGTCTGTCTTCCATCACAGATGAGCTATTGGTCCCCGTGCCTCCTTAAGGATGATCACAGAGCTGTCAACTCGCTCGCTCATGGCGCTCGTGGCTGGAGACCTGGGGTCTCGGGGGAGGTTTGGAGCCGACGCTAACACAGTGTCATGCTCGTGCGGTTTCCTTACGTAAGAATTCAGATCAGTACAGAGGGGGGGATGGGACTTTGATTCTCTTGGAAATTCGAATCTGGAAGTTTCACAAAGAGTACACTCGGCAAAGAATTGAAATCCTAGCTTTGGGCTCAGGTAACGGAGGGCAGAGCAACGTTTTAGGGTCACACAGAAAGCCTGAATCCCTGGTTCCTAATTGTGTTCACAAGGCCACCCACCCGTAGGCTTGACCTCGACCTTCCTCAGTCCCTCATGACCTTCGATGGGAATGGGACATAGGAGCGGATAACGCCATCTCTGTGGACGGCTGTGTCAACTTCGAGAAACAATGTTTGCATCCTGGTGGATTTTAGGGTAGTCTGACTTGTTTCTGTTTCTGTGTGAGGGCCCCGGGACCTCCTCATGCGACATGCCACGATGGGCTTCCTGTTTCCACCGAGTTTCCTTGGAGCAGCACCTGTGGAGCCGAGGTCCAGAGGCGAGGGAGCGGGCACAGTCTGTGCCCAGGTCGTCTGAGATGTGTCAGCGTTCACTCCTGGCTGGAGGGACGGATGCTGAGTCTCAGCTAGACGTCACAAGCTCTGGGGTCCGAGGCAAGGCTGGCACGGCTCCACGTGCTTCAGAGTTTGAAGGGTATGTGGAGTGTCCCTGGAAAGGCCACTTCCTCTGGATTTGTAACAGGGTTTCGGGGCTGAGCGAAGACCTTAATACCAAGAGAATCGACATTCATTAATACGCCTCGTAACTACAGAATCGCAGGAAAACAGGGTGAGAGGGAGACCCGGGGGTCCTTGTAACCACCGGCTGGTCTGACTTTGCAAACATCCTTTGGTCCACCGGCCGTCTTTGGGAACAGTCCGAGGAAAGGGTACTTTGGACTTCTGGGTGAATTGTTGCCCTGAATTGACTATCGACAAAATTGCAAAGCCAGGCTTCTTTCCTTTTATCCAAAGCTTTTCTTGTTGCAGCCCGGCCTTGTTATGGGCCGCGGACGGACACGAGCCTGCAAATCCAGGCTTCAGATGAGTCAGTTCAGGGTCAGGCGGTGCTTCCAGTGGGAATTCTGATGCACACGCTAAACCCGAGCGATGGGCTGGTGGATGATTAAGATGCCAAGATTGCCGTGTTCCACGAAGGCTGGAGAAGGACCATTTTAAGAATGTGCTTG